TGATGAAGATAGTACTCTCTAGGAGCAAAGAACCTGTTGTATAAATGCATTTTAAATATATTTATTAAAATTAATATATTATTTACATTTTATTTTCTTATTAACAATATTTAAACAAACAAACAGCTGTTTGTTTTGCTGCAGTGTACGTACACCTCAAGTGTCTTGTACTGCTTAAAAAGGCTTTCTTCTCCTTTTCATTATTTATAAAATAATTAATCATTTAATATAAATGCAGTAACACGCAAGAAAGCAGCTGGCTCCTGCTGCTGCTGCTGCTGCTGTTGCTGCTGCTGCTGCTGCTGCTGCTGCTGCTACAGCGCATGCAAACTGCAGCAGGGGAGGGCCCCAACGGATTGGAGCGTCTGTTTATTGAGAAATGTTTTATTGTCTGTCATGAATTAGTGCAGTATTTAATTAATTTAATAAAATATATACGCTGTTTATTATTTTGTCTCCCTGCTGCTGCTTCTCTCCGGCGTCCTGGGGCCCCTGCAGCAGCAGCAGCAGCAGCAGCAGCATCATCATCATCAACAGCAGCAGCAATAACAGCTGCAGAAGCAGAAGCAGCAACAAAAGCAGCAGCAACAACGGCAGAAGCAGCAACAACAATAGCAGCAGCAACAGCAGCGGCAGCAGCAGCAGCAGCAGCAGCACCACTAGCAGCAGCAGCAGCAGCAGCAGCACTGACGACTATATCCCCCCGCCAAGTGCAGGTGTTAAGACGTGAAGCTCTCTCTGACTCATAGCCGCAATGGTAAGGCAAACCTACTGCTGCTGCTACTGCTGCTGCTGCACTTTCTGCTACTGCTGCTGCTGCACTTTCTGCTACTGCTGCTGCTGCTGCTGCTCTTGCTGCTGCCGCTGCTGCTGTTGCTGTGGCTGAATGAGTGAAGCCAATGGGGTTGAGATGAAAGAGAGGGATTGCTTATAAGTTGCAGTTAGTTGTCTCTGCTGCCTCTTGTGCTGATGGTGCTGCTGCTGCTCCTACTCATGCTGCTGCTGCTGCTGGTGCAGCTGCTACTGCTGCTGTTGTATCTGCTCGTGGTGGTGCTGTTGCTGCTGCTGCTGCTTTTGCTGATGCTGCTGCTGCCCGGCGTGCGTATTGTATTGAAGTAGTGAGGTGTATAGACAGCTCTGGCTTGGGTTTGTTCGTCTTTAATATATTTTTGTTTTATTATTTTTCTTAAGAAGCATAAAATATAAATGTAATTTGCATGCACAACACAAACACAGACGGAGAGACAGCATATATATATAATATGTAATATATATATATATATAGATATATATATATGTTTATAATATATATAATATATATTATATATATGTACATATATATATATATATATATATATTATATATATTATCTATAAATGCATATGCAGGCGAATAGATGAGTACATTTTAAACCTATGGATCTGACTTATAGATTTATTTATATATATATTTACATATATATATATTTATATATATTTATTTATATATTTATCTATATATATATTTATATATTAATTTGCTTATTTATGCAGGGGCACACACTACTGCTAGTACAGTTTTCTGAGCGTCGTGAGAGTCGGACGTATTTAGAATATGAGTCTGTCTCTTCAGCAATGGACGGGGTCTGTCAGCTGTATGAGCAGGGTTTAAAAGCTTCAAACCCTCAGTTAAAACATATTACTTACGATGTTCAAGACCTATTCGTCTATATAGATTCTATGAAGGATCTCTGTGCTCTTGTGTAAGCTATCTATCCTTATATTTGTTTTTATGTTTCTTTCTTTCTTTGTTTGTTTGCTTGGTTTGCTGTTATGTCTTCGATGTTTATTTTGTCTGTTTATTTGCTTTTTACTCCGTCTATATATTTATTATCTATTTATTTATTTATCTATCTTTCTTTCGATCTATTTGTGTATGTATATATATATATATATATACATATGTATATAGTGTATATATGCATATATATAATATATATATTATATATGCATATATATATTTGTACATATATGTATATGTACTTACGGTTGTGTGTATTTGTATATATCTGTAGATATGTTGAATATTTTTGCGTATTCGAGTGGATATCAATGCATGCAATGCGTATATATATATATATATAATAATAATATATATATATTATATTATATATTAATATACATATATATATATATATGCATTCTCTATGTATTCGTATTTATGAGCATTCATGTGTAGGCGCCTGTTTATATAGATGCATAGCTGTACATACAGCTGCTGCTGCTACCCTTCGCCTCTCCCTCACAGCTTTTTCTGCGTATCTGCTGCTGCTGCGGCTGCTGCTGCTGCTGCTGTTGCTGCTGCTATTGTTTGCTTTGTGTACAGGCATGACAGCGACATTAATGCATATACACCTCACAACAGGGCTTGGATAAAGGATCAGGTCTTCAAACATCTAAAGCGACAAGCACAGCCATAGTGGCTATTGGAGTGTACATACACCCCGAGGAGGCAGCTGTCGGCTGCTGCTGCAGCAGCAGCTGCAGCACCTGCAGCAGCAGCTGCACTGCTGCTGCTGCTGCTGCAGCAGTGCAGCAGCAGCAGCAGCAGTGCTGCATGCAACCAACTTTATAAGTTCTTGTCTTTATAGACAGCGATTAGAAGGGGCAGAACAAAGCCTTTGGAAAAGGAGACTAACACAGATCATGTTGTGTCGGATAGCAGCAGCAGCAGCAGCAGCAGCAGCAACAGGAGCAGCAGCAGCAACAGGAGCAGCAGCACCAACAGAAATAGAAACAGCGGCAGCAACGGCAGCAGCATGTTTGTGTGTCAGCAGCAGTGCATTTCATTAGGGTTTTTTACAGCTCTGTAGACGCAGCTTCTCATTTGGGGCGTGAAACTGCTGCTGCTGTCGCAGCAGCTGCTGCTGCAGCAGCAGCAGCTGTTGCTGCTGCTGCTGCTGCTGTTAGCAGTGTGGGAACGAGGCGGCGCATTTATTGTAGTTGGCGCTGCGTTTTGTTGAATTAAATTAAAAAAACAATTATTATGCTTTTGTTATAATCTATAGAAATAATTATTTACATTATTGACTCTTATTATTATTTTTGTTATTATTACTATTATTACTATTTACTATTATTACTATTATTATTATTATCTATATGCTTGGCTTGTTTTGGAGACAAACAAATCCCTAAAAGGAGCAAAACAAACGCAGCAACAAAACCAACTAAAAAATAAAATAATTAATTATCGCGATGTCTCTCTGTTGTATTTATTTTTCTATAAATTGTCTCTCCATAGCACAGAAGAGCAAAGGAGATCTCCGGGCCTCATATTATATACATAGATATATATATAGTATATATACATATATATACATAGATATATATGTATATATATATATATATATACATATATATACATAGATATATCTGTATATATATATATATATACATACATATATATATATATATATATATATAT